TCTCTCTCTCTCTCTCTCTCTCTCGTCTTTCCCCCTCCTATTTAGTTGGCTGCCATATGTATCCCTGGACTGAGTTTATTTTGAGGAAGCAGCTCTTTCCCAGTTGTCTTTTGAGCACCTTACAACCTGAGGGACTCCTCCTCTCACACTATCAGATAGTGCTCCAGTGCTGTTTGTAAGGTTTGCTGGGTCTTCCTTCCCAGACTTTCCTCCTGTCCCACTATGGTCAGCCTTCATTCAGTTCTCAGTGATTCCTCTTGGCTACACTGCACTTGATCAAATCCCAGCAGGCATTCTATGCCCTCCTCACCATCGATTTTAAATCCCTTTTTGTTCACTTGTCCCTGGGTTTGTTGGCTTCCCACTCCCTTTTCCCTATCTCCTCTTCTCCCATGTCCCTCTAGAACTGTCGGTCCTGTTGTTTTTGCCTTGGAATTATTTATCCTGCCTACCATATATAGACAGACATTTAAGAAAAAAAACTATAAATCATTTCAGGTCTGTCTGCTGACCCTTATGAATGTTTTCTGATCACGTCTGATGAGGTGCCAAGCCCTGAAGTCTATTTTCAGGATTCCTCAGGGACACTTTGCTCTCCTTGCTGCTTTGCTGCGCTCCCTGCGTGTTTCACCGTGGTGGAGGGGTGGTGTGTGTCACACAATTCCCACACTGTGTCTCCAGTGCTGTGCCCTTAGGATTGTGGGTCAGTGAGGGGACCTCATGTCTTGTGGTAGGGCTAGCCCCCTTGTGCTTTGTCTTTATCTAGACTTAGGTTATTTTATTGACTCTTTGATGCACTGGTGACTTCCATACTTAGATATGTAGTCTAGACCTCTCTTCTAGGGTCTGGACTCAGTGATCCACTGCATGTCTAATAAGAATCTCAAACTCTTGGTGTCTTCCTTTCTATCATAGTAAATGATCAATTCTAGTTGTTCAGACAAAACACAATGGACAGGTTAATGACTCCGCCTCTCTCCTTATGCCAGGTCTAAATTGTCAGCAAACCCCAATGGCTGAACCTACAGAATACCAGGGCTTCCAATCTGTTCAAAACAGTTCGGGATAGCTGGCGTCACATACGTGTTGCATAGCAATCAAAGCTCTCATGCACCACTTTGATTGTGTGTCAGTCATCATCATTAAGTGAGGCGCCAACAAAAGCAATCAGCAAAGAACTTCCACAGGTTCTTACTTGGACGTACATGAGGCTTTCTACCCCAATAACGAACTAGTTTCCGAAAACCTCAGGGACATGTAAGGTAGCTATGAGTCAACGCCGTGGTAGTGAGTCTTGTTTTGTTTTGTTTGGAGCGGGTGGTGGAAGGCCAGAAAATACTTAACATCTACCTCAGTGGTTTATAACCTTTGCCAATTCCTATGGTGTAAATATTCTTATTGGCAGTTACAAGCTGCTTTGTGGCACCTTTGTATTGCTGAATACAGAGTTGGAAGAGGGTATTCAGAATTGGTTCTCTCTGAGCTCGTAAGGATTCACTCTAGTGCCCTTACTAGAATGTTCGTAGACTGTCATGCCATGCAGCCATCAGAGATCTGATTACAGAAGAATTCTCAACTGATAGGGAAGAAGGTCATGGAATAATAAGTGAAGGGAGGAGAAAGACAGATTGCTCAGAAGCATATGTGTTATCACCCCAGTTTAAGTTGAGATTTAACGTGTGCATAGAAAGGATGTATTTTTAAACAAAACAAGACTCACTACCATGGCGTTGACTCTTGGCTACCTTACATGCCCCTGAGGTTTTTGGAAACTAGTTCGTTATTGGGGTAGAAAGCCTCATGTACGTCCAAGTAAGAACTTGTGGAAGTTCTTTGCTGATTGCTTTTGTTGGCACCTCACTTAAAGATACAGTGATTATTTTAGGTCTGTAAAATTATGGTAACTTTTATTTTCTTCTTTGTAAATGTTTCTTGCCATTTTCTATTCTTTGAACAGGAACATGGGTCATTTAATAACATCAATAGCTATATTTAATTTAGTACTTCTCAAAATCTTTTCTTATTAAATTGTGTGTTTTACCTAAAGTAGCTTAGGAATAATTTCTTAGACCTTCTATTTGTTTTGTTTTGTTGGATTTGTAAAAGATTAAGTTACTTTTGAATATATATGTATATATTATATATAATATCTATTATTTACATATTATATATTCTTATATATTATATTATAATTATATTATATAATATAATTAATATGTATTAAAATGATATTATAATATAATATATATAAAGTGTTTTTAAAGTAACCTATAACTTAATTTTTATAAGATTTTATTTAAAAGATTCCCTTTTCGATGTGTCCCAAGTGTCGGGAGCTGAACTGTGTAAGTTTCTGCAATCGGCACAGCTTTTTTTTTTTTTTTTTTACAAAACTTTGTTTTAATATATACATGGTACACGGCTGAAGCACCTTTTCTTTCAAAACTGACTTTTGTGTGAGAACCTCACCCCTGGCAACAACAATGGGGCGGGTGTGAGCAAGCACGTGTGCACAGAGCTCCGTCCATCTGTCCCCCCAGGGAGTACCTTCTGTCATGCCTGTCGCTTCCCTCTGGGGGCAGGGCGAGCCCTTAAGGACTTCCAGTGTGTGTGCCCCTAGGGCCTGGCACACTGGGACAGTTTGCAGTGAAGTGACTGCAATGTGGGAGCCCTTACAACGGCACCCACCCCACGGCTGAGCAAGCCTT